TTTTTTTTTTTTTTTTTTTGGAAATACTGAGAATGATGTAGTTGTTTATATTGCACTTTTATATCTTATTTTTATATATAAAAACTATAAAATTTCAAATTGTGAATATAACATGTCTAATACCATTGATGATTTAAAGTTTGTTTGCAAATAAAAATGAAAAATATATATTGCCCATTTGTAAAATGTGATTTCAATTTTTAATCAATAATTTAAAAAATCTGATAGATAGAAAAAATTACACTCAACAAAATTATTTCCATACAAACCGTGATCTTATAAAATGATTTGATAAAATGAATTTTATTTTTAATAAAAAAATTTTCACGCGTTGTTTATTACGTTTTTTTATTGGAAAGACTGAGAATGTTGTAGTTGTTTATATTGTACTTTTATATCTTATATTTATATATATAAAAAAAACTATAAAATTTCAAATTGTGAATATAACATGTCTAATACCATTGATGATTTAAAGTTTTTTTGCAAATAAAAATAAAAAAAAATATATATTGCCCATTTGTAAAATATGATTTCAATTTTTAAACAATAATTTTATAAAATCTGATAGATAGAAAAAATTACACTCAACAAAATTATTTCCATACAAAATTATTTCAATATAAACCGTGATTTTATAAAATGATTTGACAAAACGAATTTTATTTTTACTAAGTAATTTTATAAAATCTGATAGATATAAAAAATATTAGTCGAGAAAATCATTTTCATAAAAACCGAGATTTTATGAAAAGGTTTGATTTTAAATTAATTGAAAACGTATACAACAACAAAGGATCCAAGAATCTAAATAAAAATAATTTGACAATATCACTGATTTTTTAAAATATGTTGATATGAAGATAAAATACCCAACATCTACCATAAAAAAGTGGATTATGATAAATTAAAATAATTTGAGTGTAAATAAATTGGTATGTATAAAATAAATCGCTATAAATATGCTAACAGAATATTGTATGCACCATTAAATCCGCTAACAAATAAGCTATAACATAATATATCTAACAGAATATTTAAATACAATCAGAATTCCATTTTAATAGGAAACTATAATAATGTAATTAATATATATATTTTTTTAAAATAGATTCTAAAATTACCATATTCAGTGTGTAATTAATGTTTTTGGCGGGAAAGACTTTATAAAAGTGAATTATGTTAATTCTTATTATATATTAATAGATGCCATTTTTTATTTTTTTGAACAGTATTTGTTTTAGTTTTTTCATATTTATTATTGCATAATACTAAATTGTTTTAAAGAACCAGCATTGATACCCGTGCGATGCACGAGGGGTATTAAAAATATTTATTATTGAACTAATGTTAAATTATATATGATATTTTATAATCTCTAATCAATGCTATTTATAGTCACAAAAAGTGTAAAAATCATTTAATAATTTTTTTGAAGTTTTGATAATTTACTATATACATTTTGTTATTTATATGTATAAAAATCTATATATATGCCTAATATATTCATTATGATGTTTGTATGTATATTATTTGAATATACTTCTAAAGTTGTATATCTTATAATCTTGTAATATTTTTTAAGAATTCATAATTTGTATATTGTTCAATAATTGTCCAACGCTAATCCATAAAATTTCTCAATCTTTGGTATAGTTATAAATTCACTAAATACTATATATATTTGATGATCAAATTTTAATTTTTATTAAAATTATTTGGATGCAGATTGAATTTGTCATGACAAAATATTTTATCTTTATTTGGTCAATATTTATTTATTTAATTTTTCGACATATATAATGAGTTAATTGATTTACATATATATATATATATATATATATATTGTATATATTAATTATCACTAGGTGACATAATTTTATTTTTGATACTTGACTTAGTTAGTTTAAATATTCACTTTTATTTAAAAAAATATTTTTTGAAGTATAATATTTTACATCTTGCATTATTTTTATAATGTATATAGACATTCTTGATGTGGAAAAATAATAATTATTGATTTCACCCAACCATCAAAATAAAAGTTTTATTAATATATAATTTTAATTCATCAATATTATTATCAATAAACTTAATATAATCAATGAAGATTTATTGTTTTTGTGTCAAGGTTGACTATATATTATAGAAATTGATGCAACTAATTAAATTAAAGCAAACATATTACTTGGAGTAATTCATTCATGGGAGGCAAATATTGGACAATGTCATCATAGCTAACAAGTGCATTCATTATCTGAATAGTAAAAGAAAAGGCAAAGATAGTTATATGGCTGTGAAATTAGACATGTCTATAGCTTATGACCGTGTAGAATGGGATTTTCTTGCTAAAATTGGTTGCTTGTTCATAATCCTTTCTGAAGCTTTTTCTAATCAAATTTCTAGAGCTGCTTGTAGGAATGAATTTTCTGGCTTGAAACTCAGTAGACACTCTCCTTGTGTTACTCACCTATTTTTTTTTTTTTTTTTTGGCAGACGACTCTATCCTTTTCTGTAGAGCCAATGTTGATAATGCTAGATCTATTCTTCATATTCTGAATGCTTATGAGTCAGCCTCAGGCCAAACTGTCAATCTGGAGAAATCCTCTGTATTCTTCTCCAAAAATTCTTCTGAGAGAGTAAGGCAGGAGGTGAGTCAAATTCTGAATAGGATTTCTTGGGTTCCTTCTTCTAAATATTTAGGTCTTCCCTTAGTAATTGGCAGGGCAAAAAAAAAGAAGTTTTCAAATTTGTGAGTGAGGCAGTTAAAAAGAAAATTAATAACTGGAAGAATGCCTTTTTGAGTGAAGCAGGAAAAGATGTGCTTATTAAAATCTGTGATTAGTGTTATCCCTACATATGTGATGTCCTGTTTTAAATTGCTTGTGTCTATTTGTGAGGAAATTTGCAAATGTGTTGCTAATTTTTGGTGGGGGAAAAACTGATAAAGGGAATAATAGGGTTCACTGGGAAAAGTTGTCTAGACATAGAAATCAGGGTGGGCTATGGTTTAAAGATCTGAGGGCTTTTAATGATGCTTTGATTATGAAACAATTGTGGAGGGTTCTTACTAAACCTAACCTGTTGATGAGCAAGGTTATGAGAGAAAAGTACTTATATATATTTCAGAAAAAAAAACTGAGTGATTTGAGGGCTAAGAGTGGGGATTCATGGTTATGGAAAAGTTGGTTAGGGGTGAGAGAGGGTTTTAATTTAGGGTTAAGGATACAAGTGAGGAATGGGCAATCCACTCACATTTGGAATGACCCTTGGATTGCTCCTTGTAATCCTTCATTTAAACTTGGGGGGATTTGAGAGGGACTTGATGAAGTTGATTTGGGTTAAGGAGCTTTTTGGGGTGAGTGGGGTAGAATGAGATTGGGAGTTGGTATTTCAAAGTTTTCCATTTAGAGAGGCATTTGTTATTGTCAATCTCCCTCTAGTCAAGTAGGTCTTAGTGATGGGATGGTTTGGCATTGGGAGAAATCAGGGCATTTTTTCTGTGAAATCGGCATATAAGATGATTCAAAACCATATGAACATGAAGAATGAGAAATACACAGTTGGATCATCTAACAGATTCCTTGAGCAAATGTGGCAAAGATCCTGGAAACTTCCTCCTATCAAACCGAAGCTGAAATTATTTTATCTGGAGATGTTGGCATGGATTCCTGGGTACAAAGTCTCCCAACTGATGAAAAAAGGAATACTAGGGGACTCTATGTGTGCAGGGACCGTGTAGGGAAAGCACTGAGGATGGAGCTCAAGGATGGACTAATTAAAAATATTAAGACTTCTTCTTCTTGTCTGTTATTGAGAATGACATTTCTGTTTTCATGTCTTCTTTTAATTCTTTCTTGTATTTTTGTTTCACACGATTTAGTTTAAAGTTTTTTTTTTTTTTTTATTTTGGTTTGTTGTCTAGTAGTGTCTGGGGAAGTTGTTGTCTTCCCTTAGTTGAGTACCATATTAGCTTGTTTGAGCTAAATTGGTACGATTGTAAGTCACTTGGTAGCGGGTTGTATCGGTAATTAAGTTAATTGTTTGTCGTTAGAAAAAAAAAAACAAAAAATAAAAATTGATGACACAATTGCTCAAATTAATATTAACAACCATATAATAATAATAATTGTTCAAATCAATTTGTATAATTTTATTGAATACATTCAATTAATTGTGTCAACAAATTACAATGAAATTAATATTAATATATTATTAAAAATTTATGCAATGATCAACCATATTGTTTAAGTTAATTTAAAGTTAATACAATATTAACCACTACGCAAATAAATTATTTTTTATTTATAAGTTCTATTAATAAATAAATGTCAAATTACATACTTAATACAGATGAATATTTTTCTCGCCCAAAACAATGCCAATTATGACAATAGAGATTGATCCATTATATAGATATAAATATAGATATATAGATTTATTTCCAAAAAATAACTTTTTCCATTTTCTAATTTCTATTTACGGAAAAAAAAAAATCCTGTGAAAACTGAAAATTTAATACCCAGTAGCAAATCTTTCTTGGCCGACTACACACACAATAGAACTACCAACTGGTCCCCTGTGGAAAGCAAAGGGCCAAAGACTTTAGCTTTGAAGCACACTAATGGTGGAAGCAAGCGAGATGGTGCCTGTAGAACACGCGCTCGAGACGGTGCTGAGGGTCGCACAGAGGCTGCCGCCTGTGAAGGTTCCCCTCCATGCGGCGTTGGGCAGAATATTGGCTCAAGACGTCGCTGCACCCGACCCGCACCCGCCATACCCTGCATCTATCAAGGTATTCTTTTCTTTCTCACCTCCTCTGTTTTGTACGCGTTAATTTTTGTGTTTATGCGTTACCTGTTTGCTGCACTTATTGTGGGTTTTTTTTTGTGTTGATTGGGAGTTCCATTTGTCGAAGGAATTGGGAGATTTTGTGTGATTTTTTTTTTTTTTTTTTTTTTTTTTTTTTTTTTTTTTTTTTTTTTTTGTTTTGTGGGATTATTGAGTATTAAGAGGGGTTTTGTGTGAAAGTTATGATAACTTTGTGGCATTTTAAAAGGTGTAGATTTTTTCTTGATTCATATATATGAGGATTATTATAACATGTAAAGGAGCCAGCTTTGTGACAATTGATGCATTGAAGTATGAACACGAGCAACAGCTTGTATTAGGATAGGTATTGTGTTAGCTAAATGTTAGAATGTAGGCTTTCTTTGTGCTCATTAAGTATTTGAAATACTTTTGTGTTTGATACACTTCAAAGGTTCCTCTAGCTTTGCTTGGAAGTTATTATCTTGTGATGTCTTTGTGTTTGATAGGATGGATATGCTGTAATTGCTTCAGATGGTCCTGGAGAGTATCCCGTGATAACCGAGTCAAGAGCAGGAGATGATGCTATTGATGTCACTGTGACTCCTGGAACTATCGCATATGTGACAACTGGTGGTGAGTTTCTCTGTTTTTTCCTTTTTTTTTTTTTTTTTTTNAAATAATCCCTGTCCTGATTTGTTGGACTTATATGCCACTTCTATACTGGTGAAACACATTTATTTGCTTGAGTTTTGCAGTTGGTGAATTAAAAGTGTTTTTGTATCTACGACTGTTAAATTGTGCAGCCGAAATAGAGGAATGTTGACATAAAATCTTTCATAGGTTAAAAAAAGGAACACCTGCCCAAACCACACATGTAATCTTATTCTCATTTCCGTCTAAATGACGGATTTATCTCTTTATAGGTGAGCCAGAAGGTCCATGCGTGGACTTTAGGCCCCAATATAAGTGAAATCCATTTAAACTAATGTAGAAAAAGCTCTTCCTCCTCATTTTATTCTTCTTTAATCTTATTTTGTACAGGACCTATACCCAAAGGTGCTGATGCTGTAGTGCAAGTGGAGGACACTGTGCTACTAGAGAGTGCAGCTGGTGGTCCAAAACGAGTAAGGGTATTGAAGCAGGTCGCTCAAGGACTCGATATTAGACCAGTGGTATGAAGCTGTTCACTTTGCTAAGTTATTTTGTTGAATGTTACCTTTATGTTGTCCAAAATGAGTGGACAGTTTGCTGTAGAGTTTAGCCTTGGCTTCTGGGCTCTAAGGATGCGGGTGCTTGTCACTTTCTATTTTGTCTGTTTTGTATTGATATGCTACCTATTTTTCCCGCGAATACTTATTATTCATTGGTAAGTAGTACCATCCTTCACCAGTGATCAAATTTTTTGATGTGAATTCTATAAAATGAAGAAAGCGACTTTTCCCAAATGTAAACCCCTGCTCTCTCAGATTTTATTTTTTTTTCTTTTTTTTTTCCATTTTCTACGATAATGATCTGGATGGTACATGAGGTTAGTTACACGAAAGGATGCATAACTTCGACCATCTCACACCATTTCATTTGTGTCTTATTGCTGTACATAATGTTATCAATTCCTTCCATGTTTGCATGTCAATGTCCGAGGTTCATGGTTCCATCTGAATGTGTCTGTAGGGGTGTGATATTGCTAAGGGTGATTTGGTATTGAAATCTGGAGAACATTTAGGTGCTGCAGAAGTTGGCTTACTCGCCACAGTAGGTGTAACAGCTCTGAAGGTGTTTATTATTCTTTTATTTTATTTTATTTGTGAAAAAATATTGTTTACTTTTTTTGTATTCATCTCTCTCTCTCTCTCTCTCTCTCTCTCTCTCTCTCTCTCTCTCTCTCTCTCTCTCTCTCTCTCTCTCACTCTCTCATATTGGTTGTCTGTAATTTCTGCTCCTGTGCCGAAAAATTTGTTAACATTTTATCAACGTTGCTATGCTCAGGTATATCGTACCCCAAAAATTGCGGTTCTCTCCACAGGCGATGAACTAGTTGAGCCCACAAATACATCTTTAAATCGTGGCCAGGTATTTGAGGAAAGAAAAATTCTTGATAATGCTTTATTGAAATGCTAACTGGGAATTTTATGTGAGTTTTTGTGTTCTCGTGGGATTTTTTGGTGCTCATCTCGTAACTTATGTTTTCTAGAAGGAATAATGCTGACCTGTTACGATATTAATTATGAAATTGTCCAGTTGAAACATAATATAGTCATACTTACATGTGGAATATTGTATATGGTTTAGCCAAATGAACTTGTATTTGAGGGATTTAATGCTAAACAAATTTCTGGAGTTCAATTTCACACACACACACACACACACACACACACACACACACACATATATATATATATTCATGACTGGGCTTAATTATTTTCTGTGTTAGTGAAATGTATTTGCATCACCATGTCCTCAAATAGTCAAATGTAGAGTTTATGTTTTGGAATCAACATCTCATGGTCCAATGTGACAAACCATGGTTGCTCCAATGTCTCTTGTCTCATAGCCAGGATTTGATTTGTCTCTATAGATTGTAATTATTTTTGTTCCGACTTTGTATGCCTTAAATGTAATCACTAACAGCGTGGTTGGATATAAATAAAACTGGTTTTGATTAGATTTATTGATTAAAATGAGTTAATCTTGAATAAAGTTTATTGAGTGGAGGATTTAGTAGGATCTTGAGTTTGTATTGTAATAATATTTAAAATGTATTGATTAAAATTGATGTGATGTAAAAGTAAGAGAGTGGTTATTGAAAATTATAGATAGTTAAAAATATGTGAGTAGATGAATAATGAATTGAAGTCGATGTGATGTGTGCGGATGATTGATTGTATTATTTAATTATATTGATAATATTTAGAAGAGTTGAGTTTGATTAAATTTGAGTTGGATTTTGAGTTAAAAATTGTGAAAACAAAAATTATCCGATCAGTCAAAACCGGTTATATTTTATAGCCAACCATGCCAAATCTTTTGTCAATTTTGTCGTAATCTCTCACTTTTTAAGAAATCTAGTCTTCGGTTATGTTTTGATTTTCTCTGTATATTTTTCTCCTTTAATTTGCTACTCTTACTTGGCGAGATATTTTCTCTAGCCTACCCGAACTTGTTTGGGACTAAAAGGCTATGTTGTTGTTGTTGTTGTGTAGTGTATCAAAACCAGGCTACCTTTTCTTCTTAATGTGCTTTAAAATGTATGGTTCTCATGTAAACAAGTAAACAAGCTCTATCCTCATGCAGATTAGGGATTCCAATCGTGCCATGATCCTTGCTGCTGCTCAGCAACAGAAATGTGAAATTATCGATCTTGGCATAGCCCGTGATAATGAAGAAGAACTTGAGAGGATTTTTGATATAGCATTTTCTAGTGAAATTGATATCCTATTAACTTCTGGAGGAGTCTCGATGGGAGACCGGGATTTTGTGAAGCCTTTACTTCAAAAGAGAGGGAAATTATATTTTCACAAGGTAATGCTTGATGTTTTTCCGCTTTCTGGTTCGTTTCCACCTAAATGAATTCACACATTATCTGACTCTCAAAGGGACCTTCTAACCAACCATTCTTTAAATTCATATACGTCCTGTTTTTCCTTCTCAAGATTCAAAAATTATTATATGGGATAAAAATCTCATTCTTCATTGCGTGATTGTTTTTGTTCAGATTAATATGAAGCCTGGAAAGCCTCTTACTTTTGCCGAGGTTCTTCCTGAATCAACCGAGGGCAAGTCTGAGAATAAGATTCTTGCTTTTGGTTTGCCTGGGAATCCCGTGAGCTGCTTAGTGTGTTTCCATCTCTTTGTGGTTCCTGCAATAAGACATCTTTCCGGATGGACGCAGCCTCATCTCCCGAGGTTCCGTACAGTTCTGAAATTCCTCACTATCTGTCTTGAATTCTCTTTCCACCTTCATTCAGTGGTTATCCTATACATTGACTAATGGTATGCTTTCGTGTTGGGCAGAGTACATGCTCGTCTGAAGCATGCAATAAGGGCAGATCGGGTCCGTCCAGAATTTCATCGTGCCACAGTAAGTTGGGAGATGAATCAAAGCACAGGAATTTCAGGGTAAGAGTTATCCCTCTCTCTCTCTCTCTCTCAGAGCTCAGGAGGCATGCAATTTGTTTGCTTGAAAATAGTTTTTGCTACTTAGAGTGAGATTTTATGTATCTGTATGTATAATTTGTTTGATTATTCCTTTTTTTTTTTTTTCTTTTTCATGACGGGAAGGTTTGTTGCTGAGAGCACGGGTCACCAACTTAGCAGCCGTCTCTTGAGTATGAAGTCAGCAAACGCCCTATTAGAGCTTCCGCCCACGGGCGACTTAATTCCTGCTGGGACTCAGGTGGTGGCTATAATTGTTTCTGATATAATTGGTATTGCTGGGAATAGCACTTTGCCCGTGTCAAGTCCAACAGTCTGTGTAACAAATCAAAGTAGTAGTGGTGAAATAGGTAAAGCCCAGCCTGAAAGTTGTGAATATAAAGTGGCTATTCTTACTGTGAGCGACACTGTTGCATCAGGATTAGGGCCTGACCGAAGGTAATTCTCATCTTTTTTATCTTATCAAACATCAAGTAGTCGATGAGATCATATTCTACCTTTATTTCTCTGAAAATATCAAGTATTTATCTTATCAGATTTTCTTATACTCATGTTTCTCAATATCATGAACAGATATAAGACAATTTCGCAGGTAATAATTGGAGAAAAATTGGTGCGATTTCAGATACATATAATCCGTGAATAAGAGTGGTGACGAGAGATTTGTGTGGTTTAAGTGCAAATTATTCATTTTAAAGGGGTTTCATTGCATTTTGTTATTAAGTTCAAACCAGAAAAAGATGCGTTGCATATTTGCATCATGATACATCTTTCTGGATCATCATTCCCGAAAGGTCACTTTGCTGATGCTACAACAATCGCCAACTTGGTATTAAGTCCATGTGAAAGAGAGTCATGGATGGATATACCGAAGATTTTGCCACAAACTTTAATGATGATGTTTTATTTATTTTCTGCAGCATCAAATTCTTTGTTGATGCACCTAAATCATCTGCATTATCTTGTTTATCAGCATATTCTTTTTGTTTCCATTGCTTGATAAAGATAATTTTTATTTTTCTAGTGGTCCACGGGCAGTATCTGTTGTGAATTCATCATCTGAAAAACTGGGTGGTGCCAAGGTTGTTGCTAGTGGTGTTGTACCAGATGAAATCCCAAAAATCAAGGAATTGTTGGAAAAATGGAGTGATATTGATAAAATGGATCTCATTCTTACTCTTGGTGCGTATAATAAAACTTTCTTCTTCTTCATTCTTTTTTTGATAGAGTAAACTTGTTAGTTAGAGGCCTTGAGGCGGTATATCCTTGTGATTGGATGTGAATTGTGGAATTATCTGATCATTGAGAATTCAATGGAAATGGAGTCGTTTGATTTACATGTCTTTCTTGGTTCATTTTATCTCAACCTCCTGTGAGAAAAATTCGAATGGATTTTTCTTTATGGGGTTTTATTGTTTGTTCCGACTTTTAATTGTTCATTTTTCCTTAGTAATGTAAAATGATATGGTAGGTGGTACTGGATTCACCCTGAGAGACGTAACCCCAGAAGCTACAAAACAAGTAATACACAAGGAGACTCCTGGTCTACTTTTTGTTATGATGCAAGAGAGTTTGAAGGTATCTGAACTTTTTTTTTTTTTTTT